AAACAGTGTTATCCTACACAGGTCTCCCAATTTTCTTTCCTTTTTTTTCTTTTTGGGTCACACCCGGCGATGCTTAGGGGTTCTTCCTGGCTCTGCACTCAGGAATCACTCCTGGCGGTGCTCGGGGGACCCAAGGGGATTCTGGGAATCGAACCCGGGGCGGGTCATACCCAGGTCATACCTTGCAAGACTGCATGCAACGCCCTCTCCGCTGTGCTATCGCTCCAGCCCACGTCCCCCAGCTTTCTGGCAGGTTCTTTCCCGTCCCTCCCCAGGCTGTCAGCCGAGTTCAGCAAAGGCAGGACACAGACCGTTTTCTGGTTTTCCAAACACCCGAGTGTCAATGCACCGTCAGCCCCACAGGCCAGCAGACAGTTGAGGGTCGTCAGACACAGCCCTGGAACAGAACCGGAAGTTGGTGTGGGGACACCATCCTCCTCCAAGAGGCCCAATGTCCGCGAGAGGAGGGCTGGAAGCCTGTGAGACTGGCCTAGTGGACAGCTGGGGACAGGAGAGTCTGTGTGATGTCCTGCCAGCTGTGAACAGAGCGAGAATCCGGGGGCTGGAGCGACAGCACAGTGGGGAGGGCATTTGCCTTGCACGTGGCCGACCCAGGTTCGATTCCCAGCATCCCATAGGGTCCCCCAAGCACTACTTAGGAGTGATTCCTGAGTGCAGAGCCAGGAGGAACCCCTGAGCATCACCGGGTATGACCCGCCCCCCCAGGAAAAAAAAAAAGAATCCAGAGCCTGTGTATTCATCAGAGAACGACACTCTGTCACCTTTCGGTCCTGAGTTCCCTGGCCCTCCAGAAGGGCCAGCCTCAAGGATGCCTGTGGGCCTGCTGGCCGCCGTGTCAGGTCGTAGTCACCGCCACCTGCCTCCTCTGCCCTCCTGAGAAGGGGTTCCAGGCGGCACTCTATGGCTGTGTCCGTTTCCCCCTGTCCTGGCTGGCCCTGGGTGACAGGTGTCCCCCTCTCCAGCCGTCACACTCAGCTGCGGCATCTGGGCTTCTGTGTTTTTGCATGAACAGCTGCCGCAGGTTGGCGAATCTCTGCTGCAGGTTCTCGTGTGAGACGGCCTCGAGGAAACCTGCTTTGCTGTGGCTTGGCCTGACTTGGTTCCTCTGTATTGGGGGCCCTCCCGGGGTGCTCCCTGGGCTCACTCCAGGCAGTGCTAGCCTTGAACCCGGGGCATCCTCACCTGTCACCCGGCCACCTGTCGGGACAGGCCAAAGGGACGACTTCTGGGTCCCATTTCTTTTTTCTTTTTCTTTCTTTTTTTTTTTTTGTGGGGGGTTCACACCCAGTGATGCTCAGGGGTTCCTCCTGGCTCTGCACTCAGGAATCACTCCTGGTGGTGCTCGGGGGACCCTATGGGATGCTGGGGATTGAATGCCCCTCCGCTCACCCTGTTCCTCACCCCTTTTCGTCTGTCTGGGGACCAAATCCAGTGGTGCTTAGGGGTTCCTCCTGCCTCGGTGTTCTGCGGGACCTCCTGGCAGTGCCCAGAGAGCCAAACCTTGTGACCCGTCCAGCCTCGAAGCTTTCCCATTTTTTTTTTCTTTTTGGGTCACACTCGGCGTTGCACAGGGGTTCCTCCTGGCTCATGCACTCAGGAATCACTCCTGGTGGTGCTCAGGGGACCCTATAGGATGCTGGGGATCGAACCCGGGTCGGCCGCGTGCAAGGCAAATGCCCTCCCCGCCGTGATATTGCTCCAGCCCCCTTTTCCGTGAGTGAACGGCGACCTCAGAGCTTTGCACGCCGGAGGCCAGGTCCTGTGTCTGACACCATCAGAGCGATGCCCTGACTGGAGCCTAGAGGCTCCCCTGAGTTCCGACAGCGGAGTCCCAAAACACAGAAATAAAAATACGTCTGTACCCAGGAGTGAGCGAGCACTGAGCACTGCCCAGATGGCCCAAACCACAGGAGATAAAAGAGTTTTGCAAACGGGGCACTTCCGAGCCCAGTAAGACCCAGGCCTGCTGCTGCTAGCGTTTTCTTGAGGCCCAAAACACTTCAAGTGACGTATTAATTAGCGGATATTGGGGCTGGAGCGATAGCACAGCGGGCAGGGCGTTTGCCTTGCACGTGGCCGACCCGGGTTCGATTCCCAGCATCCCGCATGGTCCTGAGCACCGCCAGGGGTAATTCCTGAGTGCAGACACAGGAGTGACCCCTGAGCATCGCCAGGTGTGACCCAAAAAGAAAAAAAAAAACAATACTCCATAGGACCGTTTCTTTCCTGAAGTTTCATCTCTCAGAACGTTTTCTTGGTCACTATTTTGTTCGAGCACTGCTTGAGGAGCCCAAGGAAGATTTCTTTCCAGAGGAAGGGGAGAGCCACACCCGGTGGTGCTCTGGGCTGACTCCTGGCTCTGTGCTCAGGGAAGTTTGGGACATAAAATATTGTCTATGCGGGCAGGGGAGTCAGTTCCCCAGCGCCAGGGAGGCTAGAACTGGGGGAGTCTCAGAAGCCCCTAGGAGTCCCTCCTCCTGGGCCATCCACTCCCCGCTAAAGGATGCTCCATCAGTTCCCTGGCCTGGGAAGAAGTGTTTTGTTGCAGAGAAGGGGTTTGCCCAGAGGGAAGGCTGAATCCCAGCCCCTGCCCCCAACCCCAGCCCCAGAGAATTGCAGGGGTGAGTCTGACCACTGCTGGGGTCCCCCTAGTTCCATTCATATGCCCCCCCAAGCAGTAAAGGTATCAGTGTTGTCTTCCAATGCCCTTAATGATCTTAGTCACTTTTTGCCCATCATTCAGAATTTAAGGCAAGTGCCTGGTTTGCTGTTTGGGGGCGGGGGGAGGCCCACACCCGGGGTGGTTGGGGGGGTCTCCCAGGTGGTGTTGGGGCACCCAAATCCACCTTTTTTTTTTCTTTCAAGAAAATACTACTCACTTTGGATTTCACCATCCTCTGAAGAAATGTTCCACGGTGAGCAGTAATTGCGGCCCAGACCAGCCGCGTCTGCCCCAGTCCTGTGGTCCTGGGCCAGCACTGTGTGTGTGTGGGGGTCGCTCACCCCAGGACTGCAGTCCCTGCCTCTCTGGGGCGGCCCCCCAAGGCCCCTCACGCTTCAATCTTTCTCAACCCCAGGGCATGTGGACATGGCAGAGGGCACCGGTGAAGGTGGCATATCCCGGCCCCAGCCCGAGGGCGGGTGTCATGCGGGTGAGGGGGGTGGAGGGGTGCAGCAGGGAGACATCCCAGGGGGTCCCTGCTTGGAGAATGACCCATGAGGACCCACAAACACTGCGCCAGGGGCCTTTTCTCTCCGGTGCCAACTGTTCCCAGGTCACTGCGTCCCTGCTTGGGCCCCCAGCCGGGGAGATGCAGTGTCCCACGCCCGCTGGGGCAGGGCCGCTGCCGCTGAGTCACACACACACTGCCGGGACCCAGTGGCCTCCGCAGAAAAACCGGTTCCGTTAACAGCGTTAACAGCGCACATGGGCCCAGGTGCCAGCTGGGCAGCTTCCTGGGGAGGCCCGCGGTGACCTTCCAAATCCCACCAGCTGCCCTGCGCTAAGGGGGTCCCTCCTCCCAAGGAGGACAGGGGTTGGGGGGGTCGGTAGCAGAGTGGCTGCGTCCAGCAGGCTCTCCGGGGAGGCCCGCGGTGACCTTCCAAGTCGGGGTGGGGTGCGCACTACGGGGGTCCCTCCTCCCCAGGAGGACAGGGTTTGGGAGGGCGTCGGTGGCAGAGCGGCTGCGTCCAGCAGGCTCCCGGGGAGGCCCGCGGTGACCTTCCAAATCCCAATAGCCGCCCTGCGCTAAGGGGGTCCCTCCTCCCCAGGAGGACAGGGTTTGGGAGGGCATCGGTGTTAGAGCGGCTGCGTCCAGCAGGCTCCCCGGGGAGGCCCGCGGTGACCTTCCAAGTCGGGGCGGGGTGCGCACTACGGGGGTCCCTCCTCCCCAGGGGAACGGTGTTTGGGAGGAGGTCGGTGGCAGAGTGGCTGCGTCCAGCAGGCTCCCGGGGAGGCCCGCGGTGACCTTCCAAGTCGGGGTGGGGTGCGCACTACTGGGGTCCCTCCTCCCCAGGAGGACAGGGTTTGGGAGGGCATCGGTGTTAGAGCGGCTGCGTCCAGCAGGCTCCCGGGGAGGCCCGCGGTGACCTTCCAAGTCGGGGTGGGGTGCGCACTACTGGGGTCCCTCCTCCCCAGGGGAACGGTGTTTGGGAGGAGGTCGGTAGCAGAGTGGCTGCGTCCAGCAGGCTCCCCGGGGAGGCCCGCGGTGACCTTCCAAGTCGGGGTGGGATGCGCACTACGGGGGTCCCTCCTCCCCAGGGGAACGGTGTTTGGGGGGGGTCGGTAGCAGAGTGGCTGCGTCCAGCAGGCTCCCGGGGAGGCCCGCGGTGACCTTCCAAATCCCAATAGCCGCCCTGCGCTAAGGGGGTCCCTCCTCCCCAGGAGGACAGGGTTTGGGAGGGCATCGGTGTTAGAGCGGCTGCGTCCAGCAGGCTCCCCGGGGAGGCCCGCGGTGACCTTCCAAGTCGGGGCGGGGTGCGCACTACGGGGGTCCCTCCTCCCCAGGGGAACGGTGTTTGGGAGGAGGTCGGTGGCAGAGTGGCTGCGTCCAGCAGGCTCCCGGGGAGGCCCGCGGTGACCTTCCAAGTCGGGGCGGGGTGCGCACCACCCCGGGGGTCCCGCCTCCCCAGGGGAACTGTGTTTGGGAGGAGGTCGGCGGCCCCTGGGAGCGGCGCCACGGTCCCCGGGCGCTGGGGAAGGGGGACGCCTGCCTCCGGCCCCCCACCCCGGGCCGCCAGGTCGCCGCGGGAGGGTGCGGGGTGCGGGGTCCCGGGCCGGGCGGGGCGGGCGGGCCGGGCGGGGCGCGGCGGGGCGCGGCCGGGGCCTGCGCGGGCGAATCGCGGCGCGCCCGCGGCCCCATTGGCGCAGCGGCATCACGCTGGCCGGCCGGCCCGGGGCTCTAAAGCGTCGGCCCCGCCGGGCCCCGCAGCTCGGCCGGCGCCTCCGGGACGGGCCCCGCGCGCGCGCGCTCCGAGCGGCGGCCACGGCCACGGCCACGGCGGCGGGCGGCGGGCGCGGGCGCGGGCGGGGGGCGCGCGCGATGGCCGGGGACAGCGAGCAGCGCCTGCAGGGCCAGCAGCAGCCGGGCGGCGAGCCCTTCCTCATCGGCGTCAGCGGGGGCACGGCCAGCGGCAAGGTGGGCGCGGGGGGGCGCGCGCGGGGCGGGGCGGGGGACGCGCGCGGCCCGCGCGGGGGTCCCCGCCGGCGATCGGGGGGTCCCGCGTGGCCCGGCTCCCCGGGACGGGGCGGGCGGCGGCCCGGGGGGCTCCGGGGGGCCCCCTCGGGGGTCGCCGGGCCCCGATGCCCACGCCGCAGCCTGCGGTCTTTGTTCCCGGGCCCGGCCCGCGGGAGGAGGGCGCACGGCGGCGGCCTGGCGAGCCCGGGGCGCAGGTGGGGGAGCCGGGGGGCGCCCCCCGCCGGCGCGTCCTCCCCAGCGCCCACCCCTCAAGTGCTCCCGGGACGTGGGCGCCGCCGATCGGCCCCCCGCGCCCTGCAGGGGCGACCCCCGAGCGGGAGGAGCCGCGGGCCGCGCGCGCCACGAGGTCGGGGCCCGGGCACGCGGCGCGCGCGGGTGCGTTGCGCGCGCGCGCGCTCCGGCCCGTGCGCCCCCCGGGACGGGGACCCCCACCCCCGGGCACGCAGGCCCGGGCCGGCTGTCCGGTTTCCAGACTCCGGAGGGCACGAGGTCGGGACTGGGAGCGGGGCCCGGCGTGCCAGCCTGGCCGGAAGTGCACCTGGGCTCGGGAATTCCTGCAGTTCCTCCTGCCAGGCCACCTGCGTCCCGGTGGGGGTGTGCTGGGGCTGGGCGTGGGGGTGGGGAGGCGCCTTGTTTTATTTGGGGAGGGGGCACGGGCGCATTCACGCCTCGCTGGCACCCGGGCCCCGGGTTGCACTCAACGAGCCTGGGGAGGGGTGCAGGGTGCAGGGTGCAGGGTGCAGGAAGGAGACTGAGCTTGGCATGTGAGTGAGGGAGAAGGTTGGGAAAGAGAATGATGGTGGGGGGGATGGTCTGGGAAAAATGGGGGTCACCTGTCCCAGGTCCCAGGGTCTCCGTGAGTTCCCAGCCCTGGGAAACTTGTCTGTGGAATTGGGGACCCAGTCAGGCTCTGTGTGTGTGTGGGGGGGGAGTTGGGGGTGTCCCCCCCACGTGTTCAAGGTGCTTTTTTTTTTTTCCTCGGTGATGGGGTGGAGGGGGGTGGTCACAGCAGCGAGACTCAGGTCTTATTCCTGGCTCTGCACTCCGGGGGTCACTCCTGTCGGTGCCCGGGCACCAACCATATGGGATGCAGGGGATCGAACCCTGGTTGACCACGTGCAGGCAGGCGCCCCCCGGGCACCATCTCTCTGCCTTGCTACTTGTTGGTACTTTTAAGACAGATCAGCTGCTTGCATGAAAACTTTGGCTGCCTGGAGTCTCAACATTGTTGCTGGGGGTGGGGGTGGGGGTGGGGGGTTCCCCTGGGTTTGGTGTTTGGCAGATCAGGGCAGAGCGGCGGGAGCCTGTCCTGTCATCAGACTTGACCTTTTGCCTTTTCTTACTCTAGTTTGTTGGTTTGTTTGGGGACCACACCCAGCAGTGCTCAGGGATCACTCTTGGCGGTTCCCCGGGGACCATATGGGACATCCGGATTGAACCCGGGTCGGCTGCATGCAAGGCCAGGGCCCTTCCGGCTGGGCGATCCCTCTACCTCGGCCCGCCCCCAGCCCCCCATGACTCTTTTCCGGTGGGGACCGGTCCCACTGGGGCCTCCCGGCTCTCACCCTGGTACCAGCCGTGCCAGGGGACAGTCTGGGATCCCAAGGACGGAGCCCGGTTCTTGCATCCTGTCCTGTTTTGTCCCCTGGCCCTGACACGGTGGCCGACCTCCCAGGTCCGGAAGTTCCCCTGGTCACTGCAGAGTGACCGTGCAGCGCGGCCGTGCCCTGGGCATCGCCCACGACCTGATGCTGCCGCAGAGATGCAAGTGCAAGCAGGCAGAGAACGGGGGTCCCGGCTAGGGCTGGTCTGTCTCCCCTTTGCCAGGGGAATGAGAGACCCCCTTGTCCAATTTCTCAGGGGTCCCAACTCTCCCCCCGAAGTGACTGACCACAGCAGCAGGAGTTTCCTGTCCCGGACTCAGTTGTCCCTCCCTCTCTTCCTCCCTCTGTCTCTCTCTCTCTCCATCCCTGGGACCCAGTTTCTTCTCAAGTCTCTCTTTAGTTTTTGGCTTTGGGGCTACCCCCAGCAGTGCTCGGGAATCAAGCAGGGGGCTGCTGTGTGGGAGACCCTCCCACTAGGCTTTCCCGGATCCCCCAAACATGCTTGACCTCTGAGTCATGCCCAACCCGGGCCCTTGCGACGCCCCAGACCTCAGGGGCCGCCTTGGCCCCTTCCTGGAACTGGAGCGGCCACATCCCGTGTCCCTCCACCCTAGTCCTTGTCCCTGGTGCCATGGGCCCCCCTCGCACCCGGGTCTGGCCCGGCTGGCTCTTGTGCCCTGGCACCCCGTCCCTGGGTGTGGTGTCTTGGTGTTTCTGGGTCAGGTGGCATTTGGGAAGGGGTGTCTCTGTAGGAGCCTGGACCACTGGGCCCCCAGGATGATGGGGTTCAGGCCAGAGTGGGCCCACCGTCCCCAGGTTCAATCCAACACACACACACACACACACACACACACATCACCTTTCAGCCCTGGCACCACTGCTTGGTCCCCCAAGGCCTGAGCTGGTAGGGTACGTACCCCCCCAAAGGACACCCACCCCGTCCTGCACCCCCCGTGTACGGAGACCAAGCGTCAAACCAAAGTGGGTGTCACAGGTGGGACCCAGCTCCCGTGGGCGCCCCTCAAGGACATGGAGTCACTGACTGTCCCCGCCCATCCCCCCCATCACCAGTGGCTCTGGGGAGCGGGGACGCGTCCCCTTCTCTCTGTCCAGCTGTCGTCTGTCTCTGCAGACCTGCTGCCTGTGGCCAGTGTTCGCTGCGTCAGTGTCCACTGTCGTGGGCTGGAACCACCCCTGGCAGTGTTGGTGGTGGGAAGGGGAGGGTCCCCCGCATCTAAGGGGGTGATCAAGTCGTGTGTGTCACTGGGCGTGGGCACCCAGGGCAGTGCTCAGGGACCCAACTGTAGTTACCGTGTACCAGGTGGGTGCCCCCCTGGCTGTGGGGTCATCTCCCAAGGCCACATGCTGGGCTTTTGGATACAACTTTCAGGGGCTGACGGACCCTCAGGTCTGCCGTGGGTTGGGGTGGGGGTGTTTCTGTTTCAGTCTGGACTGTGTAGAAGAAACTAGAAACTTCTTTTTTTTTTTTTTCTTTTTGGGTCCCACCTGGTGCTCTGTGCTCAGGAATCACCCCTGGCGGTACTCAGGGACCCTATGGGATGCTGGGGATCGAACCCAGGTCGGCCACATGCAAGGCAAACGCCCTACTTGTTGTGCTATTGCTCCAGCCCTTCTTTTCTTTTCTTTTCTTTTCTTTTCTTTTCTTTTCTTTTCTTTTCCTTTCTTTTTTCTTTTCTTTCTCCTTCCTTCCTCCCTCCCTCCCTCCCTCCCTCCCTCCCTTCCTTCCTTCCTTCCTTCCTTCCTCCTTTCCTTCCTTCCTCCCTCATTTCCTCCCTCCTTCCCTCACTCCCTCCCACCCGGAGATGCTCAGGGCTGACTCCTGGCTCTGCACTCAGGAATCACTCCTGGCAGTGCTCGGGAGACCTTAAGGGATGTCAGGGATCGAACCCGGGTCGGCCGCGTGCAAGGCCAACGCCCTATCTGTTGTACTGTCGCTGTGGCCCCAAGACTTCGCTGGCCTTGGACTCGCTCCCCAAGTGCCCACCTTGAACCCCCGCCTTCTGTGTCCAGCCCCCCAAGCCTGTGCTCTCCTCCCCTACCCCCCAGGAACCCACATCCTCAGGTATTTTTTTTGTGTGTGTGTGGGGGCGGTGTGGGCTGGGGGCCACACCTGGCGTTGCTTGGGGCTGACTCCTGGCAGGCTCCAGGCACCATCTGGGATGCCCGGGATCCAGCCCGGGGTTGGTCGGCAGCCAGGCAAGCGCCCACCCAGCTGTCCTACGGCTGTGCCCCCCACGCACCCCCAGTTCTGAGTCTGAGCCGCGTTGGTTGCCTGGGTCCCGTTGGCTGCCCCTCCCCTGCCAAACCCCCTCCACCCCCCACCCCCCAGCCTGCTGGGCCCCCCCCCACTCTCTCTCTCACACACACACACACACACACACACACACACACAGAGTTGGCTCCTTCCAAGATGGGTCGGGACTTGGAAGCAGGAATCTGCGGGCCTGTGGGCTTGGGGTTGAATGTCCCCAATCCCTGGGGACTGGGGGGAGGGGATCCAGCAACAACATCACCCTCATCTTTGTTTTTATTTTTATTTATTTTTATTTTTTAAAAATTTTTATTTATTTATTTTTTGCTTTTTGGGTCACACCCGGCGATACTCGGGTGACTCCTGGCTCATGCACTCAGGAATTACTCCTGGCGGTGCTCAGGGGACCATATGGGATGCCGGGAATCGAACCTGGGCTAGCCGCGTGCAAATGCTCTCCCCGCTGTGCTATCCCTCCAGTCCCATCATCTTTGTGTGTTTTGTTCTGGCCCCAGAGCCTGAGTCGGCCCCCATCTCCCGCCCGGAGTTAGTTCCCAGCAGCCAGAATTGCTTTGTTTTTGTTTGGCGGAACTAGGGGTCGAACCCGTGGCTTCATAGAAACCTGTGCCGTGTCCTCGGGCCCCGTGAGGTCGCCTCTGCTGGTCTTCCGCCCTCTGCCCCTGGGGAAGGCGGGAGAGGGAGTTAGCTGGGGGTCTCCCGCAGAACAAGGAGCGGGGTCCAGTGTGGGACATGCAGCCCGGGGTGGGTCTGGCTGTCTGTCTGTCTGTCTGTCCATCCAGTGGCATCCTTGTTTCTCTCTCCTCAGCTCATGCCTGCCCCTAGGAGACGGGCCCGGGTCATGGTTTGGGGAGGCCCCCTGCCGACCCCCATTTCCCGCGCCTCACTTGGGGCCCCGCGGAGTGTCGTGGGTGTAATTATTAGCTGCTTCCTTTCCAAGGCGCCCGACAATAGCGGGTGCTTCCTGCACCCTGGGTGCCCCGGGGTGCTGGGCCCCCACCTCCTCCCCGGCCCCCACTTCTGCATGGCCTTGGAGCACAGAGAGG